TTCTAGAAAGCATTACGCTAGTATAGAATTCCCCTTCAAATCTCCTTTATTATTTCTTTATTCTCTCTCCCCTTTGATCTTTACTCTCCCACAACTCTCCCACATTATTATTCCTTTTCAAGTAAACACATTTTCCGTAGAAATTGGCATAGACCTTAGATACTTTTCTTTTCTTTTTAATATTTTCTTTATCAGTTTATACCCTCTCCCAATCCAGATTCTCATTTGTAAGCTAATTTAACGATTAGTGAACAAACTTGTAATAGTATATCAGTAGAGACCGGAGAGACCAAGTAAGTAACCTCTTATATTTTACCCATTTCATCTTCACGTTTTGCCTCTAATACCTTTTTAGAAATTTACACCGATGCACAGGCAATGCTACATTAACAAGACAAATCGACCAGCGGCTGCCTTTGATTCTTGTAATCAATGTTACAGGTATTAGTATTATTGATGAAGGAATGTATCTCCAGAACAAAGATCTACTGGAGAAAATCAGTTTTTCTTTAGAAGACCAAGCTATGACACAAAGGTAGGTCTTAGTATTTTATTTCTTTGACTTTCTATCTATTTACTAATTTTTAAACATAGATATCATCTTACGGGGGTTGCTTTTTGCAATAACAATCACCATATTGCGGATGTCCGTTTCGAGAATACCAAAAATGCAGGCTGATATCAGTATGATGGATTGGAAAAGACCTACTGTGCAAGAGCAATGTACATAGGAAGCCTGCGCTCACCTCTTAAAAATGGGTACACTATGAATTTTGTAGTTTATGTAAAGTTATTATAAAAAAAGTGGATTTCACATGATATAAATAAAAAAAGCAGATTTTTCTATTTTGCAACTCGGGTTTCACCCTGTCATGATCAATAAAAAGCGGATTTCACATAGTCATTACAAAAAAAGCAGATTTCATATGACATAAATAAAAAAAGTGGATTTCACATGACATAAATAAAAAAGCGGATTTTTCTATTTTGCAACTTGGGTTTCACCCTGTCGTATTATAATTATATTTTATTATTTTATAGAATAAATATTTAATAATAAAAAGTCTATTATAAATTAATATTTTTTATATTTCTTTAATTTTATTAATATTATTAGTATTAATATAATAATAAATGTGTTTTTTGCTAATAATTTAATAAGAAAATTTTTCAAAAATTATGAAAATTTGTAAATAAATACTTTAGATTATTAGAAATAAGATTTATTAATATTATAAAACATATTAGCATAATAATATTTTATATTAAATATTACAAATTATAATATTTAACAATTAAGTTAAAATAAAAAATTATTTAAAAATATTTTTAATAAGAAATTTTAAAAATAATATATTTTGTGATATAAAAAATATTTATAATTTGAAAAGCATTTTTTTGATTTATTTTTATTAATAAATATTATTCAAAAAAAACTTTATTTTGATAAATTTTAATAAAATATATAGTTAACTTTTTTATATTTACTACTTTTAAAAAAAAGCAAAATTTAATGATTATAAAGAGGATATAACTATAAAAAAATTTTTTTACTACATTTATATATAAATAAAAAACAAAATAAAATAACTATAAAAAAGTATGACTATAAACAAGTATAACTATAAAAAAATGTGACTATAAACAAGTGTAAATATAGAGAGATTTGACTATAGTAAAAAGCTTATTTTTACTATATTTTACTATATTTTATTAAAAATTAAATATATTTATTTTAAAATTTTTTATAAAAATATTTTTAAATAATTTTTTATTCTATTTTAATTATTAAAAATTAAAAGTATTTATTTATAAATTTTATAACTTTTGAAAATTTTCTAATTAAGTTATAAGTAAAAATATATTATTATAATTTAAATATTTTATAATATAATTAATTAATTATTTTTATTATATTTAATATTTTAATAATTTAAATTTATTTAAATTAATTAATTATTAATTATTTATTTTATTAGATAAAATTGAAATTATATGACTTTTTTCATGTAATTTGAATATATAATAATATTTAATAATATATTGCAATATCCAGTAATATTTTGTAATTTAGTAATATGTTATAATATTCAGTAACATTTTATAATATTTAGTAATATATTATAATATTTAGTAATATATTATAATATTTAATAACATATATATAGACTAAAATTATTTTATATATAAGATACTTTTTATATTGTAAAAAAAGCAAATTGTAACAATTAATTCAACTAATAATTTAAATAAAATATTTTTAATTAAATAAATATTTATTACTTGATTATCTTTATTATTAATATAAAAAATTTAACTAAATAATAATAATATTTATTGTACATTATATTGGACACTCAACCAGGTTAGATTGCTAAAAAAATATTAGTATTATATTATTTTAAGATTATTTTCACACTAAGTAGACAACAAAAATCTATTAGTAGTAGTAATAGTCTATCTTGATGATAGAAGCAGATGTATTTATTGTATATAGATCTTGAAATTACATGATTTATCATAGATCAATTTTATAGAAGATATAATTAATAGTTATGATTAAAAACAAGTCACAATTAATTATAAATATCAAGAAGAGTTCTAAAAATTGAATTGTGACAATATTTATCATTACTTTTGTGCTAACTATAATTATATTTTATATTTTATTAAATAAAATATTTTTTAAATATTAATTCAAATATCAATTCAATATTTATTCAAATATCTATTTAAATATTAATTTAAATATTAATTCAATATTAATTCAAAAATAATAATTAATAATTATTATTTATTTATAAAAAATAATATACACACTCTTACAGTATATTATTGAAAATTTCAAAAATGAATGTGGCATTTTGGTATACGATATCTTGATATCTAGTAATCCAATTGATAACGATAACGATAATAATGCACATAATAAATACCGATACGGTATACGTAAAAGTTAATTTTAATCTGTTCCAGAAGAACGAACACTATATCGAGGTTTCGGTTTACACCGGGCCACTATAAACAGGTTTGACTATATTCCTATCGATATCTAAAGATGCTAATTCCTTTGAAAACCTAATTCCCGACTCTAACCCCCTTTTCTATCGTCTACTTTCTCTTCTTTATACAAATTTCTCCTCCTATTTCTAATTTAATTTCTGGCACGGCCTATCCAAATCCAGTAGTTCCTTGTGAGTTAATTTTCGTCACCAAAATCGACTACGGCTAACACATTTATAGAGAATAAGTTCCAATATAGTTTGGGACCGGACCAGAGCGAACATTTAGAGACTTATAAAGGGCACATTTAGAAAGGCCTCTCTCTTTGCTTTTTGTTCGACCCAAAAACTCTCTTATATCGAAAGTGGTTTGTATTTTAACCAAGTGTGTTAGTTGACATTTAGCTATTCGATGCGGTTTTTGGTTAAGCGGCGACAGGATCAAAGTCATCGTCGATACACATCGAGTTTTGATGAGATTCTATTATTATAAGCAATAAATGATTTGTTAAGAATCAGACTTTGCAATTTGATTTAAATCAATTAAAATTTAAATTACCGATATAACTTAAAGTGTTGCGAGATGTTTTCGTTTTCAAAGAAGTAAATGGACTTGTTTTCCCTAGGTTTATGAATTTTCAAAACAATTAGATACACTAGTGAAATTATATAAAAATTTCTTTAGTAATATTTAGCAATAGTTACCATCAGTAGATTTATTGTCAGTAGTAGTATCTGTATTGTCAATTATGCTTGCAGGCTCTTCAGTAATGAATTTTAAGAAAATAGGGGCAACAGACATTTTTTGCATTTAAATTGTTTAAAATTACTGGATTCTGAGACTGAATAGGTCAAAAAAATATGTACTCTGAATGTGAAAGATTTTGCAACAAGATATGATGCGCATTCTTTATATAGATTTTTCAACAATAGATATGACGCAGTAATTTCTCGGGTTTTCATTACGTAGTATGATCGGGTATGTCAATTCTATCGGAACAATCTTTCTAAAATGGGGTGCGTACCGGTACAACTTTTTTCGTCAGAATTTCTTTTTTTGTGCTAGAATTTCTTTTTTGTGCTTTTTGTGAAATGAAAGAATAGAAGATTGTTCATTCTTACGTATTCTTTTTTTTGAAAAAATCAAGTTCTTAAGCATTAATGATACTCGATTTATGATGCCGAATGACTTTGATGTTTGAGTACATGTAGTACATGTTCTACGTACGTAATGTAGTCGTATTACCGTTACGTGTCAGGTACATGTATAGCATATACGTACACGGCTGTATGCACCGATTGAAAAGCAAATTCATTTTTTCATTGTGTAAATTTTCTTCTGCAACATCCAATACATGTACATGTACGTATAAGGTAACATCGCCTGGTTTTCTAGCATTGATTTTTTCATCAAACTACGTTTTGGAGTTTCGAATTTTAAAAACAATAAACTTTATGGACAATTGGAAAATAAAAAGTTGGTTTGAAAATAACATAGATTTAAACCAATTACCAAAACAAACAAATTCTTCTAAAGTTAGGGAAGAAAATTTAGAATTTAGTGCTTGTTCTTATTGTCTTTAAGGCAAAGACAATAGAGTAAACCAAAAACAAACCCATTTCTAAGTCTAAAATTTCAAGAAAAGCAAAAAATTAACTCTTCGTATTATTGCTATACTCATCACAAGAGCTCCTCTCAAAAGAAAAAACTTGAACAACTAATATTTAAAAAGCACAAAAATTAATTGCTTACTTGTGTACAATTACTCTCATAAAATCGCCTTTAATTCATCACTTAGTACAGGATTTGTTGGTTTGAAGGGTTTCTACTTTTGAAACAACTAAAAAAAACTTATAAGGTGTTATTGATTTTTATTGTTATATGTAATTAGAGAATGAATAATAATAAGTATGTTAGATATGTAATAGAAGAATTTTTTTGTTAAAATAAAATACATGTAGAAACTAAAAGACAAACTAATAAATTAATTGAACACAAGACGCAGATGGACAATTAACACTGGAGTTTGTACGTGTAATTGTCAAAAATACATGTAGTTACTAAAACATATCAAATAAATACAACAAATAAAATACAATTTATACCACAATATAAATATAATTATACAGTCAAACCCCTCTATAGTCACCACCCTCGGGAAAGCAAAATTTGGTGACTATAGAGAGAATGTGACTATAGAGGGGTTTTTTTTACTATGTTTATATGTAAATGGGAAAGCAAAATAGTGTGACTATAGAGGGGTGTGACTATAAATGGGCGTGACTATAGAGAGGTTTGACTGTATATATAAAGTCACTTTATACAGTTCCGGCAGAAAGCAATGGCGTGCTAGCATTTTTATAGGAGCAAAATATATAAATAAAGTGCAATATTTCTAGCAAGATACAATTAAAATGTGATGAATTTGCGAAAATCTAATAAGAGCGCATCATAACCAGTCATTTTCCCGATTGCAGGTTTCTAAAATTTCAGAACTCATTTCCTCAATAACCAGTTATCAGAATTTTATATTTTTGGTCTTGGTAGTAATTTGATTTTTGGTTTTTTTTTAGTTGAAAAACGTTCAAGTTGCAAAATTTTTAGACCATTAAATTTGCATTGACACGAAAAGGGAATACATCAAGTACTGATATTTTAGAGCATAATTCTCTACTCAAAGGCACTATCAAATAATTTTATTATATAATTGAATGAAATATAATAAAAAACTGGCTATCATTACTTTTCACCAGAACTATAATTATGAATCTGATCTTACAACTATAAAGAGTAGAGATATAGAGTAGAGATATAGATATTTCTGGATCAATAGTTGCAATCCAGTTATGTCATATTAATTTGGAATATACATAGTTACAACATGACGTAAGTTATTTCATGTTTAATGTCTGCACCTCTAATAAAAAGTAATTATGGTGTGCAAACAGCTTAAAGACTCAAATACTGCGTTATCGTTATTGTTGAATTTTTTTTGAAGGATTATCGTTTCCAAATAAGTTATTATATGCAATGCTACGTAATTAGAATTTTACATGATGAAATCCAATCAAAGATAAAACACGTGATATTTCAGGTACTGAAAATCTCAACTATTATATTAAAATTAAAACAAAAATATATAATATTATAGCTTATATTTGATAATATATTTGTTTTAAAGATATATTTAAAATAATATCTCTTTACAGTTCAAAGTATTGAATGTTATTAGACTGAATATATTATAATATAAAATAAAAAATATATATTATCAAAGAAATTCTTAATTATTCAAGTACAAAATGATTTTAGAGAATATTATTATATTAGTAAATTTTTGAGAGTGCAATTTTGAACAGATTTTCAGATTTAAAGATCTGCATAAATATTTGAACCTGACAATAATCTATAAAGAAAAAAATAAAAATTTTGTACAAATCTGCAATAAAATACAGATTTGCACAAAATATTAATATATTTCTAAGAAAAATTTCTGTAATAAAATATATTATATATATAATATATTATTTCAAGTAATAATAAAAATAGCAATTTAAAGTATAATAAAGAAATTTTATAGTAAATAATTATATTATATAATATTATTATAAAAAATAGTAATAATTTAATACAAAATTCTTCAAAAACTTTAAACTTAGTGCAAAGTTCTTTAAAAGACTTCAAATTTAATAATTTTTCTATTTTAAAGATTAAAATTCTCTAATAAATTATTTTTATAAGTTTTTTATATAATTAATTGTTTAAAAAATTATTTCTATTTAAGTTATTAATAATATAAGTATTTCTTATTATAATAAAATAATTTAAAAAATAATTAAAAATATCGAAAAATTTAAAAATTCTAGGCAAATTTATCTGAAATATAGATTAAAAATATAATAATAATACAAAAATATAAATATATTACTTAGTTATTAAAAAAAATTTTAATTTTTTTATTAAATATAATATTTAAATTATAATTATATAATTTTTATTATTTTAATTTTTATATAATAATTACAATTATTTTTATAAATTTATAAATAAAGAAATCAAATTTTTAAAGTTTAAGCTTAATTTTTAATAATTAGTAATTTAATTTTGTTAAGTTTTTAATTTTATTAATATATAAATATTTTTTATTTTTATATTAAAGTAAAGATAATATTATATATTATAAAATTAAAAAATATTTATTAATAAAATTAAAAACTTTTATATAAAGAGAAAATCATATATTTTATTATATTTAATTAATAAATTTTAATGTTATTATATTATTTTTGATTGTCATTTTATATATATTAAAAAAGAATTTTTAAATTCAAAAAAATTCAAAAAGTTTTTGTTCTATTAAAATTTTGTTAAAAAATAATAAAAGAATAAAAATAATACAAATATTTAAATTATAATATATTTATTTAATATAAAAATATTTGAATTTTTAATTAATAATTTTTAATTAATAAATTTTTTACTTAATAAATTTTATAATTATAATCCAGACCATAGTAAAAAAAATTGTAACATTACTAAAAAATATTTATATATATTTAAGAATAAAGCTTCTTGCAAGCTGGCTTGTAAGCCAAATACAGAGATAACAAATAGATATTTTGACTTGCAGGCTTTTTTTATGAAATTTATTAATAAATAAATTAATGCAATGTGTAACAAATAGAAAGTTTGGCTTGTAAGCTGGCTCACAAGGGGTTTTATTTAAAAACTAAAAGAATTAATTAATCATTTCATAATAAAAATAATTTATATAAACTTCACTTCTAAATATATTCTGAAATAATAATAGAGCTATAACTTTATCACAGTTGCTAATTAACTAAAAATTTCAGATAGTATATATATTTATCAATTTTCTCTCTGTTTAATAAAACAAAGTTTTAAATTAACATTATAAAGCAAAATAAATATAATCAATATTATTTTGATAAAATTTTTGCTCATTTAACACAAATATGGTTAAGTAATTAATGTATAAGCTTTTAAAAGAGAATAAATATTTAATAGACATTGGTAGTATTGCTCTTTGAAACTCAAAAAAAAAGGATTTATAAAATAGCACTATCGCTATGATGTTGCGGGATCCCAGATTTAATAGTAATGGGGACTGAAAATATAACCTTAAAAATTTTAGGAACCATGGTGTGGTGCTATAACGCGATAAAATATAAAAATCTTTAACGATTTCAAATAAAAGAAAGTTTCGAAATATTCCCAGTAGGAGATTCCAGAGAACTATAATCTCTATTTGAAACTCCACAAAATTGACACGCTGAAACCTTGATGGGAAACGAGCATAGCATATTAAAAGTCATTTTGGCGTTTCTTGGCCGACGAAGACATAACTAACTCAACTGACAATAATTCTTATGGAAGCTCGAATAAATTATCAAATGACAGTGAATTGTTTTTTTCGTCGGCAGCAAACAAAGCATTTCCGCTGCTTGAATGGATTAGAGGTTAGTTAGAAGCCGTCACAGTATGGAAATATTGATGTAAACTGAAGGATAGGAATTCTTCATCAGGCATAAGTATTGTTTTTTGAACGATTAATCAAATGTCCCTATTCTTTAATATTAAATGAAGTGTACAATAAAAAATTTAAAAATTATATTTATAATGACATTAAAATCGATGCTTCGAATTAAACTTTGCTTCTATGTAAACATGTGCAAAAGCATTCCCAGCTTTTTTACTTTTTCGTAACCAATAAATAGTTTTATGTGTATCAAGTTGTACTCCGATTCCACGATCATAAGCATAAGCAAGAGCAGCCAAAGCACCAAGATATCCATTTTCCATCGCCTTACAATACAAGGTGTACGACTTTTTTTGATCCTTTTTTATACCGATTCCACCCTCGTAATGTAATGCCAAAGCGAAATAAGCAACTGAATTCCGTTGATTCACAGCCTGTCGTAGCCAATAAACTGCCAAGGCGGAATCGTCCGTTGTTCCAATTCCATGCTTATAACAATATCCAAGAAAATATTGTCCATATGAATTATTTGATTCTGCAGCTTTTTTGAATTCTTGAAATGCTTGTTGTCTTTTATGCGAGTCTTGTAAATAGAATACCCCAAGAATTATTTGGTTTTGTGGGTGTTGATGATATGTTAGATATTTGATCATTTCGTGACTTTGTGATTCAATTGTTTCGAGGAATGTTCTTATATAGGTTTCCCATCTATCATACTTCATTCCATGATCAAGGTCAGAGAAAAATTCTTCAACCGCTTTTTCATAATTTGGGAATATCTTATTCTCAATGTCATCTTTTTCGTTAACTTTATATTCCTCTGCCGCTTTTTTATCCTCGCCATATTCATTATTATTCTTGTCATATTCATTATTGGTATTTTCGTTATCGATGTTGTCATCATACTCATTATTGGTATCTTCGTTATCGATATCCTCATCATACTCATTATTTTCGTTATCGATATTAATATTCTGGTTATTGATATTCCCATCATACTCATTATTGGTATTTTCGTTATTGGTATTTTCGCTATTTGTATCATCATATTCATTATTGGTATTTTCGTGATTGATATCATGCTCATTGGTATTTTCGTTATCGATATCCTCCTCATCATTATTATCGTTCTTTAATACATGTATTCTCATTTCCATAACTCGTATATATCGATATTGATTTTTATTAGTTGTTATCGCGATGAAAAAGATTAACGTTAACGCTATCGCTATTACTATCACTACGTATACGAACATGTACATGTATTTTGTGTTTGGCTTTTAACTTTAATAATGAATGATATCGATATGAATGATGATACATGTTTTTGCCTTTCTAAGATATTTGATCATGTACGTACGTACTGGTACGTATGAACATGAGTAAATCATTATCGTTATACGTACATGTAATAACCGTTACCGTTACATATACCATCTTTAAAGCACCACAACACGTGACCAAATTTCAGAATTTTAAAGCAAATATAAGAATTCACTTTATTTTTGTTTAAATGCCGCTCCTTAGAAATAAGCTTAGCCAAGCCGTTGCTAAATAACAAGATAATTCTGCTTGGATCCTTGAAATACCAAGCGAACGATTTCGTTGCTTGTAATAAAATTCAGTCCGTTCATTAAGAATGCAGATACTGAATTATCGCTGCACGTAATATCATGTCATCCAGTAATGATTTAGCATCTGAATTAATACGCAGTCACAATTTAATAGTTCTTGCTGAATGAGCGCTAAATTTTATCATTTGAACTAATGGCATTGTTCTTTGTTGTGTGATATTAGTTTAAATTCTTACCTTGTTCACGATATTCAATTGAAAAAATGTCTGAATTCAGTTCGCTTAAATAAACACTGGTTAGTTTTAGGATAGAGGTTTTGAAAAAAAACCAAATACAATACATGTAATTCGTATAAATAGGCACGGGCTGTGTTATGCATTTTTGCATATTCAAGAAACAAAACTATATAAAGATGTTTCTTACATTCAATAAAAGATAACAAAGAAAGAAATGCCGTACTGTCTTTGATGCTATCTCTATAAAAGCTAAAAAAAAACTCTTTCCACCAGAAAAATTCCGTTTATATTATGCCGCTAAATAATTATCTCTTTGGCCATATATTCTTAATAAAAACTCTATTATAATGAAATTCATTCCTTTAGTAATGATAGCAATAATATTAATGTATTTACAATTGAAGCGAGACCCAATTCTAAAAGTGACAAACTCACTATTTTAAAGAAAAGCGATTATGGAAAAAAAAATCGAACCGATATTCTATAAATTATTCATTTAATAAATGATCCGTCTTTATTGCAAGAACAAAATCTTTGAATCAAATTCTTTAACACAGTATGGTGCATAAAATCTAAGGTCATCAAATGTTTGTATTTTATAAAATGTATAAACTTCTTTACTAAGAAGTAAATACAAAATTTAATCCGTGAATATGATAGAATAGGCCTTTTCTGAGCATATTCACGGATTAAATTTCGTATTTACTTCTTAATAAAGGAGTTTATACATTTTATAAAATACAAACATTTGATGACTTTAGATTTTATGCACCATATATGTCTAATGATTTCATTTTGATGTATTTATTATTCTTTCTGATTTATTTTTTTCTGTTATCAGGTTTGCCTTGACTAGGTGAATTTAATGATATTAAAATCATATAATTTAGTTCACTGGATACAGAAATATTTGCAAAAATGTTTTTCTTTAAAAATTTTCTTTAAAAAATTTTTTACCCCAATTTTTGTACAGTATTTTTGAAACATTATATCTTTACATCTAGTAAGCCAAATTATATAATTTTAATATTATTAGATGCATTTTGACTTGATGAATCTGGTAATATAAAATTATTTAATTTGGTTTATTGAATTTGAAAAAATTTGCATTTTATAAAATAAATTTTTTTCATATAAATTTTGGTTTGATCTAAATTTTATTTTTTATATTTATATATATATATATTTTGAACTAGTTATTGAAATCACTTGAAATTTTGATATAATATACAATATACTTCAATAATTCTATTAATTTAGAATTATAAATATTGTTTTTATTGATTTTTGCATTATTAAATTTTAAAAAGTGTTTACAATATTTTGAAAAATTACTGTATCTTATTTGAATCTTGTACTTTAATAACTAGTTGTTATCTCCAAGTTATAATTTGTGTATTAGTTCTAAATTGAATCATAAATTAAGTTTTGAAAGAATTATTATTGGCTTGAGTTCAGATTTGAGATCAATTATTATTTATTTATTTTTGCTATTTATATTAATAATTATTAATATCTTTAAGATATACAAGTACTATTATAATCTTTTTTGTATTAATTATATTATTTTTTTCAGTATAATGATCAAAATTTTCAAACCAGGTAATTAAATCATTAGTTTTATTATCTTAAAAAATTGGTAATAATATTAATTAATAAAGTAATAAAGTAATAATATTAATCATGCATCTAATTGCTTGATCTGCTATTTAATTATTTTGTTATAGTAAATATATAAGTTGTTATTGTGCTTGTTGGTGTTGCTAAATTTGTTATTATAATTATTAAATTTGCTAAGTTTATTATTGTATTTGTTATCTTCTTTATGCTTTTTTAGCTTTTCTTATTATAACTAATTTTTATTATAAATAATATATTGTTACCATTTTGATGGAGCTTTCAAAATATGCAAAGGTATTTATAAAATTTAATGACTATTCAAAGGGAAACTTCTAATGTCTTAATGACAATTCAAAGTCTCAATAATACTTTATGACTTTAGACTGAATATAAATTAAAGTACGACAAGTACTTATAGAATCACTTAAAGATTGGTAACAGTTGTGTTCTTTT